AGGCCATTTGCCCTGCATACACCATGAGATTATGTCTTAGATTAATACATTTTCCTGCTTTCTGAACTATCCCTGAGATGCCAGCTTCTTCAGCTGTGGAAAGAATTTGCCATTTAGCAGAGGAGGAACTTTATAGCTTGTCACAGCTTTCAATCATAGCTTTCGCTTTTGATTCTTTAACAGTGGCACATGGGAGCAGGAACATTTTGCATAACCACTTAGCTCAACCTTCCAAGTCGCCTCTGAAAGGAGCGAGGAGCAGTTTACGCTGGCATGATAGGAAAGAACACTCTGTACTGGTGTTAATAATATCTGCATATAGTTTGCATAACTGAAATCCACAATCATCTTCCCTCCAGCTTTATTGCAATATATTTGACATGTAACACACAATAATACCTATAATAGCTTCATCTTAGTTTTGCTCCAAAATTACTTTTCTCCCATCACTGTCCCTTATAAGTAATGTGTACCAACATTGATTTGATTTTAACTTCTTGCTTTTTTCCTTTAGTCTTTTTTTTTTCCCTACAAACATGAATTGAACCCCCATTCTGTGTCCATGCTCTGTCTCTGGTCCAGAGAACAAAAAATGACAGCCGAAGGTTTTTCCGAATTGTAGAAAAACATGAGACCTCAGATGGAGAAAGCACCGTGAATCTCAAGGAGGGTAAAGAAAATAAATCTACAACTGGAGTGACTGTAGCATAGTGACAGTATACCCAAAATAAGGAGAAAGTCTTAAAAGCCAAGAGAAAAGACAGATGAGTGACTGTCCAGCTTATATGTCTCAGCAGTAGCAGTTGACCCTATACCTATCATTCAAGGAGGAGGCTGACTTAAAGACCTTTTCAGATATACAGAGAATGGCAGAATTTTCTACCTCAGACTCGAACTGAAAGAATGACTAACAGTCAGACTTTAGCAGGAAGGAGATTGAACCAGGACTATGTTACACCAGTACAGAAGAGTGGCGCCTCAGTGAGATTGGGCTCATTAATAATCATCTAAACAAAATGGCTGCCCCTGTCTGAGGATTTGAGGACAAACAAGATGTTTTTCCAACTGAGTGTGTAGCTACTTAGACTTGGCGCGGAGGTTTGGAATTCTTCTGTGTGTGATGGATGATTTTCACTTCAGGCAAGGGTCTGGAATTCAAGCCATCCATGATCATCTTAAAATTATAGGTGACATAGTTTGTGTATGTGTAATTTTTCTGCAGACAGGATTCATGTCTTTCATCAGACATTTTAAGGGGCTTAGAACCTGAGCAAGCTTAAGGACTACTGGATCAAGATATTGTCCCTGTCGAAATGAAATTACATTGGTACCTGCCCCAAAGTTGAGGAACGATGATCTGAATTGAATATCGGATCTCTGTGGCACTCTTGAGACCCCAGACGAATGATATTTCTTCTCCTTGTCGTCCATCCGCACAGAGCACAACCTGTGTGACTGTTCATGGGTACAGTGTATCTTACCAATCACAGTGAGGATTTGATTATAGCTCTTAGGATTTCTGAAGGGAGTTACTATTGAGCTCTCAGAAGAAATAAAGCTTATAAGTGACCAATTTGGGGATATAATGATAGGTTTAGTGCTGCTGTTTTGTTCAAGGAGAGCGTGTTTTATGTAACACATTGTCCAGGTATGTGGGATGGGGAGGGGTGTTGTGTTTAATCAGTCTCTCTCCTGATGAGATTTGATACTAAAACAACAATTAATTGGTGACCGTGCATAACTTGTGTTTTTGTAATACAGCCATAATGTATGCTAGAAATGTGCATTTTATATGTAATTTTACTTCCACTTCTCTGTTTCTTCAGTAGTTACTTTTTGAGTGCCAGTGTCAGGCCATTTACTGCATGAGTAAGGCCATGGGTATAGGGTTGAATATGGTGATGCTGTCCCTGAGGATTACTTCGAATCAGGAGGGCAGGTGACAAGCCGTCACCAAATCCTCAGTCCCAGCCTAAGACCCAGTCAGGTCCAGGGGAAGCCGTTTTCCTGAGAGCCTGCCACATGGGGATCAGCTGCAGGTGTGACTCAGAACAGTGTGCATGCTTGGAGGACAGCAGCAGGCTGTCCCAAACCATACAAACATTTAGGCTGTAACTCAGGCACGGGCCTCCTCAGACAGCACAAACATCAAAACGCTTGTTTTCCGTGTATAGTGATGACCCTAAAAGCATAGTCTGCTTCTGAAGCCGTTATCGGTCTTCCTCCGAAGCCCAGGCAGGGAGGGCCTCCTTGTACCTCCACAGCACCCCAGGGGCAGGGATGAAACACCCTAGCCCTGGGACAGGGGCTTCCTGTCCTGTTGGGAAGGAGACCATCTGCAGTTCCATTTCCTTTCTGAGGACACGGGTGTCCCTTAGAGGGCCCAAGCGGTGGTTTGTCAAATGTTTACCAAAGGCACAGAGAAAGTTAATACGCCTCTTAAAATGGGCCCGGATTTCCTTCTTCGTTGATGGCATCTCCCTTTTTTTGTGTGTCATGTTGAGGAATTCTCAGTTTGGAGCAGATCATAGTCTCTTCTGTTTTAACAGAAGAACACCCATATACAGCTTAAATGTAGGGATAAGGACAGCTAGGGTTTTGAAATGGGACTTCTGTGAAAATTTGGAACGTTGGGTGATAATGTAGTCTGGTCTCTGAACGGCCAGCTTTCCATCCCTGGTTATTTGCAATTGCATTAGGACAATTAGATTCTAACTCAAACTTCTGCAGACTCATTTAGAGAGAGAAGAAATTCATTTCACTGTATTGTACTCTAAATTGTAAATGAGGCTCAGGACTGATTGTTTAATAGGCTGGGGTTTTAAATTGAAATTTTCTCCCATGTTATTTTACATCTATATGATTCACCATAAAGATTGGTTTAAAAATGTTGATGCTGTTTTATTCTTTTCAGTTAAATCGAGGTTACTATTTTAAAAAAAAAAGTATTCTGGCTGCTTTTTTGTATCCCTCAAACTATCACTTTCTTTGCCATTCCTAGAACTATTTGAAGAGTTTATTGTAACCTAAAAATAGAGTAAAGTAAGCACAATTTTATTTATTTATTTATTTATTTATTTGAAAAGTTGAAGAAGAGCACAGTTCATGCTATCCTTCCCTGAAAAATGGGAACCTGAGCGTCTGATCCCGTGTTTCTATTATCAGGTTATACATACTTTGAGGTAAACCTATGTGATGAAAGGAATAGCTCTCTTGAAGGAATGACTGTGTGAAGCGTGTGTGTGCATATGCATGGAAGCACACACACTGTCACTTGCCGTGTGTGTGGACGTTTGCAAGAGCTTGCCTGGGCTACAGTGGGTTTGAACTGTCCGATGGAACAAACAGCAGTGCCTTCCTGTCCATAGAAGAGAGACAAAAGCCTCTCGTCTGTTCTTCTCCAACTGGTCTTTTTGCTGCTTCTCCAGGGCCTTTGCTGCAGGGGGAGGGGAAGGGTGTTGGCTCCGATTCTAGGTCTCCTGGGCTGGGTGTGAGGGGTGGGTGGGGTCCACATTATCAGGCCCCGAACTCCATCCCTGCCCTGGCTCCCTCGGTGTTCTAAGTTGAAGATGTAGTGGGTTTAACTTGCCTTCAGTCCTGGGACTCTTGGATCATTCATTCAGCCCATATTCGAGTGTCCCGTGCCAGGCACAGCCCAAGGAGCATGCAGCACATATGTGAAAGCTGCAGAATTCACCGTGCCCCGGGAGTTTACATCAGCTCCTTAATAACTTTCGGTTGCTCCCACTTCTGGAGTGAGGGTCATTTCCGCAAGCTGTGAAGTATTCATGCATTTGACCTTTTTTGTTTTTGCTTTTAGTCCCTAATGTAGCATAACAGATGAGTAAGAAGACATCATTGCTGCCCTCAGGGAATTTGTGAGAGAGACAGACTGGCAATGTGTAAATGTGTCCCAACCCAGCAGGCCGCAAACAGACTATAGGAAATGCAGAAGCAGTGACTGGGGGAAGGTGGAAGGAAAGAGGGACATATCTTTGTGGCAGGGGTGGCTGCCATTCAGCTCCCCTTGTGGTCACCTGTGAGATGGAGGGGGTCTGGCCGTGGAGCAAGGAGATGGGCTGCATAGGACATGAGAGTGGGAGGAAGGGATGAGCAAGGCCAAGTGCCCAGAGACCTCGACTGTAAGCAGACGGGTCACTAAATGTCCCTGGTTGGCGGTGACATGACATCCTCACTGTTCTGGAACAGCTGATGGCAGAGTGTGGGACGCACCGATAGCAAGAGTTGGGGGCAGGGAGCCAGCGAGGTGATTTTCTTTCATTTATCCTTTGTCTCATTTAACAAAGACTTAGCTGGGTCTTGCTTGAATCACGAAGCTTAGATGCTACTTTAAGAGAAATGGAACCAATTTAATGCCCCAGCTCATCTTTCAGGTTAGTAGTTTACAGTTTAGTTTCTTTTTGTTAAGTGACTGAAAGGTACACATGAAGACAACTTCAGGGAAACGACTGTGGACAACCCAGTGTCTCTGCTCTGCTGGGTTTCTCGTGCTCTTTGCCTCACTTGTCAGTGGTGGGTAAAAACGCAGCCGTCTGCTCTGCTCCACGGATAGCTGGTGGGCCTCACAGTGGCTGGATAATTCAAGATGTAATTCAGAGAAAACTGGTTTCATTTATGTTTTGGGATAAGAGCCACAGAGAAAAACTGGAAGAGCCAGAGTGGGTTGTCTTGACCAAAGGCTTCCAGGGCTCTGAAGGAGCCAGCCTGCTTCTCTTGGTTGAGGAAGGAGATTGCATCTTAAACACATGGTGGTTGTTAGTCGTTGTACCTTTCTTTTTTTTCTTTTTCTTTTTTTTTTCCTTCTTTTAAGGTAGGAAACAGTCTTTGGACAGAGTTAAATGCTGCTCAGCATAAAGGACGTGCTGTGGAACAAAGCCTGCAGACTGTGACAAATTAACATACCCTGGACTAATGAGAATACAGAGTGTAGCTACTCAGAGGCAGAACAAATACTCACGAAGGGTCTCCTTCTCTCCTAGGACTTCCTTTGCCGGGCATCTGGCCGGGATTCTTGTTGGACTGATGTACACTCACGGGCCTCTGAAGAAAATCATGAAAAAATGTGCAGGTACCAAACAAAACACCTTTGGCCTGACAATGCATTGGAAGTTCATCTTAATTTTAACGGCAACAGGGGCAACCCCAGGTTTCCCTGTGGTTCCTCTTAGGAATTCGTTCATAGGCTCTTTTTAAACCAAGAGGCAAAACAGCTGGTGCTGTTCCTCACACTGCGCCAAAGAAGGGGTGGCAAACCCAAACTGTAAACCTGAAGCTTTCTTAGGCGACATAGCAGAATGTTTCCCTTCAGCAGTAACGGTACTCCGGAACACTGAGATTTTCTTGAAAATGCAGAGAACTTAAGTGGGTTTAAAATAATGTGTTCTTGGGGCACCTGGGTGTCTCAGTGGGTTAAGCCTCTGCCTTCCACTCGGGTCATGATCTCAGGGTCCCAGGATCGAGCCCCGCATCAGGCTCTCTGCTCGGCGGGGAGCCTGCTTGCTTCTCTCACTCTCTCTGCCTGCCTCTCTGTCTACTTGTGATCTCTGTCTGTCAAATAAATAAATAAAATCTTTAAAAAAAATAAAATAATGCATTCTTCTGTGGCATTCCATGGATTAATGTATATGCAAGGCAGAGGTAAAAAAGAAAAGGAAATCTGAACTGAAGTCAAGGCCAGGATTTGAAAGGAGTCTGAGTGAGCATTAGGTTCCTGGAGGGCAAGATGCATATCTGAGTCCGGTGTCCTTGAAGCAGGGCTCCCGCTTTTACAAGTTTTGCTGTTGGTTGTTTGGTGTTTTGTTTGGCTTTTTTCCCTCTCAAACTGATGCTCAATGAAAATACTTTATTTAGAAATACATGAATTTTTTTTAGCCCTCTTAATTTAAAAATGCTATACTGGCTTTGACTTATAGGAAAGCTATTTTGCAAACACTTGTTTTATAGACCATATGAGTTCCAATATTTCATCTTTTATTCATGGGAAATCTTCTGAGACTATTTTACCTTTCCTTGAACCATAAATAATTTGTTTGAACAGTTTGTGGCGATGACTGGTATTCTTGAGAACCATATAATATTCATGATATTAGAAAGCTTTCTAGGCACTATGCTGCCATCTTTATTAGTGGCTGTGTTCACTTTCAGATGATTTTTACAGGCTGTGTTGCATCTAAACACATTCCCATTTTCCTGAATTTGCTTATTACTGCGTTTTCAACGTGTGTGTTTGGAGAAGGCAGCGGGAACTGCATTTATTGAAAATGTCCAGTTCCATTATATTTTTGATACAACTTAATTATGGAAATCTAGTAATGAGCTTTGTTGCCCAAATGCTCCCAGTATGAATAAAGGAAAAGAAATGATTCTTGGGAGTTTAATGTTTTCTTTCATTTTCTATGTTTGTCTTAAGTTGAAGTGGTTTGTAAAGCTTTTGCAGACATTTTACAGAATTTAGGGAAGTATTTTGATTTTAAAGAGGATTTTTCCCCCACAATTATACCATTTACACTCTTAGCTTTCCTCCTAAAACCTTGCCTGTCTTCTGTGGAGACTTACTTTTTACACCGTGTCATTTTCAAAGTAATCCAAAAGAAAATTAGACATGAGAAGTTGAAACAAACACTCACTTCTATTTACAAATATCTTGCAATCTCTCTGCCTGCTGTCCCCTCCCCTCGCCACCCAGCCCGCCCCCCCCCCCCCCCCCCCCCCCCCCTCCCCCCCCCCCCCCCCCCCGGGCCCAGGAAGCTGGAGAAAGTTCTAGAGTGACCTGAGAATTGAGGTGACACAGGAACCCTGTGGAAAAGAGCCAAGTGTATGAAGCTGCTGTCTGACAGGTGCTGGAAAGAAACAGCATCACACAAGCGGGTGTGCCTCTTGCTCTCCCCTGCGGGTCTCTCCCTTCAGGGCTGAATTGACCTTTGGTCCTACTGCCCTTTTAGGAATGGAGGAAGACCAGTAAGAACCGTGGATCCCCTAGCAGTCTTGTTGGGGGCAAGTCCTCTGTATAGCCAGAGCATCTCTCCTGGGACAGGGGCCTCAAGGCCCTCATTACCTTGAAAGGCAAAGACTCTCTTAGTTCAAAAGGAACCTCTTAGGCACTGCAGAAAGAATTGAAGGGTTTCAAGGTTCCCCACATTCTGTTTCCCATAGGGCTCTCCCCAAACAAAAGGGAGTTTATTTTAACAATTGTTTAGAAATCATTTGAAATGACCTTGGGTTTGTTTTAAAGAACCTCCTAATTGTTGGAAGGATCATCAGTTACTTTTGGCTGTTTTGTTCCATTGGTTGATGGGTCTGTTTTTATGCCTGTACCCTGCTGTTGGATTACTAAGGTTTTGTAATACAGATTGAGGTAGGGAAGAGTTAGCAGGCTGCTATCAGAAGGACAAGAGATAACAAGCATTGGTAAGGCTTTGGAGAAAAGGAAACCCTTGTGTACTGTTGGTGAGAATGTAAATTGATACAGCCCTTGTGAGACACAGTATGGAGGTTCCTCAAAGAATTAGAACTACGTTATGATACAGCAGTCCCACTTCTGAGTATATATCCAAAGGGAAATGAAATCAGTGTCTCAAGATGTTCACACTCTCATGTTTGTTATAGCATTATTCACAATAGTCCAGAGATATGAAAGTCCATCAGATAAATGGATAAAGAAGATGTGGAGAGTGTGTGTGTGTGTGCGCATGTGCATTTGTGTGTGTGTGTGTGTGTATGGTGGACTTATTTGGCTATAAAAATGAAAGAAATCCTATTGTTTGTGACAAAATGGATGAAGCCAGAAAACATCATGCTAAGTGAAATAAGTCATAGAAAGACAGATACCATATGATCTCACTTAAATATGGAATCTAAAAAAGGTGAGCTCATGGAATCAGTATAACAGTGGTTGCCAGGGGCCGGAGACATAGGAGAGATGGGGAGATGTTGGTCAAAGGGTACAAACTTCTAGTTATAAGATGAATAAATTATGGGGCTCTAATGTACAGTATGGTGACTACAGTTAATAATATGGTCTTGTATACTTGAAATTTACTGAGAATAGATCTTATGTTTACATGGGCACAGTACGGTAACTATGTGAGGTAACAAGTGTATTAATTAACTTGATTGCCGTAATCATTTCATGTGTATGTGTATATCACATCATCGTGTGATAGAATTTAAGAATTATATCACACTTTAAGATGTTTAACAATTTTAAGAATTCGTGTTACACAACCTGAATGCATGCAATTTTTTGTCAGTCAGACCTCAGTAAAGCTGGGGTGGGGAATTTCTTACGGCCACAGCTAAAATGTTTGTTTCCTTCATGTAGGCGTTTTTTCCTCCAATATGCATTATCCCGGACAGCAGTTCCACGTTAATAGTTCAGGTAAGTACTTTGTTTCATTTAATACATTTTATCTTCAAAAATCAGAGCGTTTGCCAACATCGAACTGCTGAGGGGTAATCCAGCTATGGTGTCCCAGGGTCTTCTGCACGTGTGTACTTGGGCCACTAACATGCCTGAAAGCTAGAGGGAGCCAGAGCCCAGGAAGCGTATTTGGGTGACCTGGTAGAGAAGGCCAAGAAAGGAGGGAACACTGGCCTGAAAATACTGTATGATTGGTATGAGCTCTCTCAGACATGATAAGATTCAGACTAGACCCGGCCCCTTGCTTCTCAGTCTGCAAGCCCAGACTGCCTGCTGAGTGTTGGAAGTCCCGTTTTCATCTACAATTCTCTGCATTCCACCCCACCTACACATTCAGGAAGAATCATGCCTAACCTCTGAGGCTAAGATAGGCATTCCTCTGGTAGCTAATACCATGTGACTTAAAGAAGAGAACGTATTTTTTTCTAGATGTCCTTGCAAATATGCTGAAGGGACTTCCTGTCCAAGCATCTGCCCTGTTTTAGATGAAGGCCCTTAACATGCTGGGGAGGCTGCTCGGCAGTTCTCAGGGCCCGTTCCAGCAGGCACGTGTTAGAGAACCCATAGGCTATGGAAGTCTGGGTGTCTTTTATAGACATTTCACTGGAGAACTGTTGGATCCCTCTGGCGCTTGCTTTTAAGTCCTTTAAGGTAGATCTAAAGTAACTTTTATTCTAGGGTTAATTCTGTGCTACTACTGAGGTATCACTTTTTTGGGATCTCTCCTGAATGGTCTTTGGTCAACAAGGGCTCTCTGTTCTGGTTGGTTCTAAAGCTAAGGTCTCCCAGCCCTGCCCGAGCTCCTGGAATCATTCAACTTGTAGCTCTTTATCATTCTTTGCCTGGTCCCATAGCATTTCACTCACACATACATGGCTTAATAATTCAGCAAAATCTTCAGGCGACCCATGCAGGTTTTCTGAAGGTCTTTGCGTACGCTTAGTTTTCTCCTTTTCTATTCTCTGCCCTGCAAATTTCAGCTCTGCTCTCAGAGTCTGTTGCACCTGCTTGTGTCCCCTGTCCCTACACCATAGTCAAGAAAGTACCTCCAGGCCCCTTTCCTTTCTCTCAAGGTTCAAAATCTTGCATTGCCTGTGACACAGTGTCTGAAGACATTCGTTTCATTTATGTTCTCCAGTTTTCTACCTGGCTACGGCGGGAGAGCTAGTCCAGTCCCGGTTACTCCTTCTGGCACAGGTAGAAGTCCAGTTGCGCAGCATGAGGGCAGTGCACGCAGCGTTCAGCCCGAGAGGGAGGAGAGGAGGGCTGCAGTTCCTGGACGTTATTCAGAGGAAGTGGAGGGCAAGGTCTTGAATGAATAAGTAGAAGTCAAGGAAAGAATGGGGGAAGAAAGAGCTTTTCAGGCTTTTATTAAAGGGCCTGTAGGAGATTATCCAGAATGTGCGGGAGTGCCGCTGAAGGGCTTAATCAGTGGAGTGATACTACTGGAGTTACGTTCAAACTCTGTTTTTGATGTAGTTATAAAGGCTTGGATCATTATTATTAACCCTGGCTATATATATGGAAGGTTTTTATATATATGAGAAGGGTTTTGTTTTTCTTTTTGTTTTTGTTTTTAAATATATCCATAGCTTGAATTCATCCCAGACCAATTAAATCAGAATGAGGATAGAGACAGGGACTTGGACTCTTTTTTTTTTTTTTCCCCTAAAGCTTCCCAGGTAATTCTAATGAGATCAAGAACAGAAATCATAGGCCTAGATGATGGGGTTTAACTAGACTTGGGGGCCACAGAAGTGAGTGTTCATTGGGAACACCTAGGACTTTAATGGATACTTAGTAACCACTTCTCAGGTAAGGACCATTTTCCAAGGGGGTTCAAGCACATTTGAGCCACGTCTGCCGCCCCCTCAGAATACCTTGAGGAATGAGCATGGCTTGGGGGAGGGCCAGGCAGGCCATCGGAGTGCTGCAGAATGCGATGACTGGGCTGTTCACGCTGGGCCGGGGCTGGCAGGGCTAGTCTTGGGGCTCGGGCACCATGCTCCACCATTTGAAGGCAAAGGGCACCCGGTGTATGTTGGCGCAGGCACAGAAGTCCCCGATGTCAGTCAGGGTAGCAGTCGAAGTCATCGATGAAGGTGCACTTCGAGGCTTTTGCCTCTGCTACTTTGGATGATAAAAACACTAGAAACGTGGTCTGGGTGCAGGAGAGGAACAGTTGCTGGACAACGCCAGCTCACCTAAAGAGAAGGGTAATGATTAGTTATTGACAAAGCTTTAAATATACTCATTTGGAAGAGCATCTGTTCCTGGACACCAGCTTATACTGACTTAAGTGTAAATCTATGTGGGTAGGAAGAGGTGGACTGGACAGGAAGACCGTACTGGTTCTCTCTCCCATTGTGGTTTCCCACTTTTTACTCACTTGATTCTCTCCACTGCTCATGCAACAGGGCCCCTAACACCTGGCAGTTGACAGAGGATAAAAGACTTTTCGCCTGGTTAATTTATTAAATCCCTGAAAGTAAGAGAAATGTTCCTCTGGACAAAGAGAATAAGAACATACCCATGCACAGACATACCTTAACCTATCGCAGATTCCCCAGCCCTAACATCTCGTGTGGTCTCTGCGAAACCGAAGTTTGGAAATGTTAAATCATTTGGCTAATGTCACACAAATAGTGATAAAACTGGGACTGAAAATGCTACTCACTGATTCTTAGCCTCTGCTTCTTCTGTATTACAGGGATAGGAGATGGCCGTTCTCCTGATTTATCCTTACAAAACAGGGCAGTTCCCCTTATCGTCTCCCTCCACCCCGCCACTTTTTTGGCATTTATTTAAAAAAAAAAAAGTAAAAGGGAAAACCTCCTTCCCTCCTTCATATGGAAGAGGCATAAGCCTACCAGACACAGACCACAGGATTAAAGGCAAACATAAAAACCGCTTTTACCTTTCTCTCTTATCCCCTGTAAGATTACAGTATGTATATTCCTTCCTCCAAAGTTACTGGATTTCTTCAAAAGCAGAGCTGTGTAAGGGCCAGGTGGCCATGCTAATGGTCATCTAGGGAACTTGTATGAGAGCCTATGTATCTCTTACAAGTAATGGTTTATTCTTAATATGGCCGTCCTTAGCTGGAAGAGTCTTTATAGGTCAAAGAACCTCATGAATGTTTAAAAAGCTGTTACCAATTTTTCTAATCTTGGTGGTGTTTCTTGATCTCTTTTGCCATGAAATCCTGGTATGTGTATAAGGAACAGATGGAGTAGTTAATAGAATAATGATAACCAGAATTTCTTTTACTACAGAGCCAAAGTATATAGCTACAAAAGAATATTAAACTGCTATTTCATCGCAGGATATAATTTAAACTTATTTATCTTAAGTGTTTGATTGTTGGGTTTTCCAGCCATGTTTATTATGAAGATTTAAAAATATCTGATTGGGACAGCAGAACAGCTGAAGAAGTTTTTTTGTCCTAGGAGACCTGCTCTTATTATAATTTGGTCTTCTTGATGATTTATGACTGATGATATAGAACGTTTAACCACACTAGTCTTTTGGACTTAACACACTGAAGCTTTCCCTTTTATCCCCCCTATGTTTTGTCTGACAAGTACCAAATTAGGTTTTATAATATTCAGATGTTTAGAGTTGTAGACCTTGTTTCATTAAGGCCGTGCTGGGTTTTTTTGTTTTTTTTTTTAAATAAGAAATAACATGAAGAAAAATGTTTTTCTGTGTCAAGAAACTATTGCCTCAAATTGTAGCAAATTTACCTGGCAATTGAAGCTCTGTGGATGTATGTAGTATTTCTGGTGTCTGCATAGACAGGTATTCAGAGCTTTGTGGTTATTCTGGGTTTTGAATGAGCTGAACATTTTTGAGGGTAGATGGGTAGAAGTGCTGCTTAGACCTTCTAGAAAGGATGACTTTCCATGGGGGTTTAAAAGTGGTAATGAGTCATATGGGCAAGTGCCCAATATGCTTTTTTTGTGTAGCAGTAAAATAATTGGCACTCTTAGGGATTGGGCAGCCTCTCTGTTCAGGGATTGCTGAAGCATACCGTGGTATTCAGTGACTTATCCGTAAGTATTCTGTTATGTTTTGGAATGGTTGCCCCTTTCTTTTGTTCTTTGTGAAGTACACATAATGATTGTATTTTACCCATTTGCCCTTATATGAAAGGTTTATTGTTGTTGTTGTTGTTTTGGTGGGAAATCTAGAAAACAATATTTGTAGCAATGTCATATTCTTCTTTACTCTTAGGACATGAAACTTGCTGGTGGGTGTTCCCCAACATAACAGTGGGAGCTAAATTTTTTTTTTTTTTCATGGTTTGTTGAGTAAGAGACCAATTTGAGGAAGGTGGTCGATTTTTAAATTTGAATCCAGATCCAACTTCAGTCCTATACTATTGTGAGGATTTTGGAAACTTACTTATATCCTTTCCCTGTTCTAAATATCATGATGTTAATATTCTAATATGGGAAACAGGAGAGAGAATGTGAAAGTTGGCTTATTGGAGGTATTTAGTAAATTCCCACCAAGTTTTTGCTACTTTCGGAGCAAGACTTGTCAGAATCAGTCCCCCAAATCCTGAACAATTTTATTTAATGTTTATTTAAATCATTCACTTTGTGACTGTCAAGGACATTGTAAAATATTACCAAGAAGGAAGGGTGTTTTAATAATCAGTAAAAATTGGGCTCTGAATAGACTGCTGTCCAAAGAAGATATGCAAATGACCAATAAACCTATGAGAAGAAGCTCAGTATCATTAGTCATCCAAACCATAATGAGATACCACTTAAAACTACTAAGATGGCTGTAATTACAAAGATAGTAAATGGAGAAATCTGAACCCATTACCATCGCTTTGTGGAAATGTACTATGGTACAACTTTTGAAAACATTCTGGCAGTTCCAAATGACTAAACAAAGAAGTTCCCTATGACCCAGGAAACCCACTCCTGGGTATGGACCCAAGAGAAATGAAACACATGTCCATATAAAAACTTGTCCATGAAGGTTTATAGCAGTGTTATTCACAAGAGTCAAAAGGTTGAAATAACCCCAAATGTCTGTCAATTGCTGGATGTGATATAATCATGCCTGGAATATTATTTGGCCACAAAAAAGGAATGAAATACTGATTCATGCTACAACATGGACCAACCTTAAAAATATTATGCAAAATGAAATAAGCCAGACACAAAACAGCACATGTTCTATGATTCCATTTCTGTAATTGTCCAGAATAGGCATAGCTATAGAGACAGAAAGTAGATGAGTGGTTACTTAGGGCTGGGAGGGATGGGGGATGATAGCTAAATGGTATAGTTTTCTTTTTGGGGGTGATGAAAATGTTCTAACATTGATTGTGGTGATGGCAGTTCTCTATAAATATATATGAAAAGCCATTGAGCTGTACACTTTAAATTGGTGGATTAAATAGTATGTCAGTTGTATCTCATTAAGGCCACTATAAAACATAATCAATAGATACATATAACATGACAAATACTATGTAAATGTATATAGTTACATTAGATTATCAGCTGAAACTAGATCAGTGTGTTTTATTATCATTTCATTGTTTATATGAAAATACTTTTGGGGTGCCTGAAGATTTTTAATCGAAATAGTTAAACTGTTTCCTTTTTAATCTTGCATTTTATTTATAACCAGCACAAAAGTAAACTTTAAAATAGCCTCAGGACCAATTATCAAATATTCTGAATATGAAATCTTAATTAACCAGATTCTACCCTATAGTGTTCCTTTTTTTTTTTTTTTTTTTGCTTGATTGTGTGTGTGTGGTTTTCCCCCCTGTAGTCTTAAAGAAATAAGAAATTTAAACTCAGGTGTGTACTCAGTTGATGATATGGAGACCTATGACACAGGACTCAAAGTAAAGGGTAGGAATGTTCATCAACAACAAAAAGCACATTAATTAAACATTTGCAAACTCATCCCCAAAGTGTATGATAATGAAGGAAAGAAAGAGTAAAGTTAAACAGACTCTTACAACTCTTTCATTACACGAAAATTAGATTGGTAATCTTTTGGGGGAAAAATTCTCTTCCAAACAAATTACATTAAAGTGGTCAATTAAAGAAGATATAAGGAATAAACTCAAACCAACTTAAAAAGATTGATGAAAACACCTTGCAAAAGTGAACTCTGCTCTGTAATTGACCCTCATTAATGGGATATGTAAGTCTGATACTTAAAGCATTATTTAATGAGCAGGTTGTTTCTTCTCTCATTTTATCTAGCAACCAATTTCTTGAAAGTGCTGTTAATAGAAACTATGTTCTTTGACATAAAATTATAATTATAGAGACATCGCCTTGTATATCAATGTAATTATTACTGTCCAAAGCATCATACCCAGCACAGAAATCCCGTGGTCTCTGCATTAAATGTTAGTCTGCCTTTCACTGTATGGATCCACAAGACAGAAAGGCTTTTTCAACTATCATTTCAACCATTGCCTTCACTCCAGTTAGGACTTCACAGAGAAGTCACTCCAAGTATTGTATAGCTCTGAATCCACTCCAGATGAAAAGAGCTTATACCAGCCCCTCTCCGGTACCCCTCAGACTTTGTAAATTCAGATCTTGTTCCTCTTCGGCATGTAAGGACTCACACACGCATGTCCAGTCCCACGCTGGGCGCTGTGGGTACAACAGTGATAAGACTGTAGTTGCCCACGCTCATGGAGGACTTCTCCATTTGTCATCTTTCCTTATTTTGAGGGTTATAATTGTACTCAAAATGATGATATAGATTATCGTCTTTGCTTATAAATACGAAGAATGGAAAGAGCGGTACGTGGCCGTGTTCTCTAACCTTTTCCTTGTGCCTGTAGGCTACTCCAGATATCAGGATTCTTACCAGTATGGCTGGCCAGCTTACTCTGAAGAAATACCCAGGAACTATGATGCCTACACAGCAGGACTGAGTGAGGAGGAACAGCTGGAGAGAGCATTAAGAGCCAGCCTCTGGGACCGAGGTAGGAATGTTGCGCCCTTCTCTTAATTTACAGCATACCTCACATGGTGAGATGGTCTGAAAAAAGGACTATTTGTAGCAAATTAAATTTGAAATAGTTTATAAAAAGGATATGTAGATGAAAAAAAATGTGTGCAGATTGTGATTACCAAGAATGGGGTGTGATACCATATTCCTAGCAACCTAAGCTAGTAAGGTGCCAGACTATGTAGGTATTGTTAAAGTTGGTCTTTTTATAGGCCCGCGGCACTCCTCAGTGCCTTGGTGTTACAGTTAAGAAACCTAAAAAAAAAAAACTGAGGTATGTGAAAAAAGGAGTTTACTTTGGATTTCATATCTATAAAGCAGGCTGTATGTCACTGTATATATCAAAGTGTTGCCCACAGACCTTCCCCAAAGTCATGTGGACTGCTTGGTAAGAATTCAAACTTAGGGTTCTACTCCAGACCTGCTGAACCAATCTCTTTGGGGGCAGATCCTAGGAATTTGTATTTTCAACAGGCCTTCCAGAAGATTCTTTTATGGATTGATGTATGAAAATCACTGCATTTATCATGCCACTTTTGTGTGGGTTTGACTTGCTACTGTTATTATGGCTTTAGTAGTGATGAAAAACCATCTGTTCATTCAGTAAGCATTTATGAAAGTCTTGACTATGTTTTGTGGTCTGCGTTGGGTACCATAGGGAATACAGAGAGGTAAAAGATGTACTCTCCCTTGAAAAGTTCACAGTCTCAGGTAGAGGAGATGCCTGCGAGAGGCCACAAGGGACAGATGACCATAGTATCAGATGCTCGGGTGGGAGTGCTCAGCTAAGAGAGGCTCAGGCTAAGTGCTAGATGCAGGCAGGAGGGGCGAGCTCTCCCTTCACTAGGCCTGCCAGATTCTTACAGAGGACTGGGACCTTCAGCAATGTGTCAGGTTTACAGAGATGTGGGCAGGAGTCAGTATCACACAGACAGGGAAGTAAGGGCGCTGTCAGTCAGCCCTCACTTTGGAACAGGGCCTTAAGAGAAGAAGGGGAAGAAGAGTGGAAAGCGAGGCTACGGCCTGATCACAGAGGTCATAGAATCAAGGAGGCCAGGTGGAAAAGAGACCCACTAAGTGCTGGAAGTGTCAGTGGGGTCCTGTGTGTGGGCGTGACATGATCAGAGCTGTGCTTTAGGAGTCTGGCGTTGGTCATTCCACAAACAAGGATTGAGCACCTGTCGGGGGCCCCAGGCATGGCGTTAGGCTAGGGATGAGTGCATTATGACCACATGGCTTCCGACTTTGAAGAACACAGTCAACACCAGCAGCGTGCATGGAGGTAGCATGACGGCGGCCATCTGAACAAGAAATCAAAGTCCAGATGAGGAAGGGGGGTGGAGGGAGGGCCGGGGAATGGAGAGGAAGAGAGAAGTCAGTATTCCTTGGGTAAAGAGTATCCGAATTGTGTGCAAGTCATCTATTACTGTATAACACATCACCCTGACATGGCTAAAACCAATAAACATTTCTTCTTGCTCTTGAGCATATTTGGCAGCTGGCCAAGCTTACGGGATCTTGGGCTGGCCCTCGTGCTAAGGTGTCTACAGTGGGTCACGTGGAGCTGGCTGCCCAGGGTGACCCCACTGACTTGCCTGAGTGACTGTCCTCGGAAGCGATGGTGGAGGTGAAGTCACACACCCCACCTGGTCCAGCAGGCTGGTGAGGGTCATCTGCCAGGCCTCTACCCAAGGGTTCCAGGAGAGTAGAAACCAGCAAGGCTTGTGCTAGTGCCCCACCAGTGCCGCTGTATTTTGCCGCCGCCACAAGTCACCGCCCAGACTCATGGGATTCAGTAACAGACTCTGCCTCTTCATGGCAGGAGCTGCAAAGTCGCACAGCAAAGAGCATAAATAGAAGGAAAGGTAGAGAATTAGGGCCATGCTCATAATCATTTTATTGCATATTCTAGATGTTTTGCTAGCATCATGATCACAAGCAGCATGCCTTAGCCTTTCTAGAGTTGGGGGTAGGGCCCCAGAGCCTGTACTAAAATAAATTTTCATGGTTTTATTCCTACGCACACAGGAGTTTAATCACCATTAGGCAAGGCAGGAAATCTGGGACAAGTAAGGTTGGAGTGAAGCTACTAAGCATGGACTTTGTACCAGACTTCGTTTAGGACCACAAACCGACAGTGGGAGAGAATACTTTGAGGTGCTGTAACTATTCTGTATCTTATTATTGTGGTGGGTACAAAACTCTGTATTTGTCAGAACCCACATACCTATACATCACAAAGATGGAATTTTCCTATCCAGAAATTTTCAAGAGGTAAATAAGAATTAATAAGGTACCTAATGAAATAACTGGTGGTCCTGCAAAGACCATCAAGGACTACAAAAGGCATCACTTAGAAGGTTCCTGAGAGGCAGGACAGTGATGACGTGTCATGTCATGGTGGAAATGCTAAGAACAAAGGGAGAGCTGGACCTTTGCGATGGAGAGATTTGGCAGTCAAACACCTGAATGCCGCATTCAGGCTCAACGATATTATCCGTGAGGTGGCCTGTTGGGTGTCTCCCAGTATGATGTGGTATGAGGAGCACAGCATCATGTTCTTGCTGTGATGTCTTCTCACTACAAGTATTTAACCTAACTCCGAGTCTTCCAGTATAAGCATCAATATACAGGAGCTGCGTGGGATAGAGGAACAAGCTGAGTAACACCATGGAGAAATAATCAGATAAAACATGGGATTTCTGCAATTCAATGAGAGTGGTCTCCTGGCAGGGGGGGGGGTCCATGTCAAAAAGAAAAAAAACAGGGTGTGGTTTTATATTAAAAGGAAATAACAAACATAATATGAAAAGCTTGAAAAACTGACTACAAAACCTTTTTTTATAAAACAGGAATTTTGTATTTGGGCTAGATATTAGAAGTTGTTAGGGAAGTAATCAGACTTCTTGGATGTGATAATGGTATTGTGGATAAGTAGCAGAATGGCCCTTATTCTTGTGACATACACGCTGAAGTATTTAGAAGCAAAATAATGTGATATCTGCACCCTACTTTGGAAGGTCAGCCGAAACAACCCTGTCCTCTCTCTCACCATCCCTCCACACGTACTGCATTCAAATTAATTTGGAAAACACTGACAAACTATGAACATATAGCAAACTGTACCCTGTTAAAGACCCAGAATGGCACTGGTATTCTGATGATTCTAATTAGCTCTGCAGTTAGGAGACCAGTTTGTTAAATTAATGTTTTCTAAGAGCCTATGGAACAAGTTCCAAGAAAACTGACCTGAGGAGACTTCATGAAGTGCATTATACAGTAACAGGTGGCAGCAAAGGAATTAGCTTTATAAATTATTTATATTAACTTTAGTTTTATTTTCTTTAAAACACTTTGTGATTTCCTTCTTAACAACAAGAAACCAAAGAACCATTGTTTTAGCCTTAATACTTTTTTGCCTTTGTTTCCCTATGGGAAAAATACTTGGTTTGAGTTTTATTTTATAAAATTCTGGCCCTAGATACATACTATTTTGTACCTTGCTTAGTTTCATTCAGTGTTACGTTGTAATCAGATTTTCATACCACTGAAGGTTTGGAACATACAGATCCTCCATGTATTATCTTCGATTTATACTTAAGTATGTTTTTTGGAAGGGAAAGTATGCTATTTGTAAATAGTAATTTTAAAAAGTTGTACATCGAGATTATTTTTTTCCTCTTCTTTAGTCTGTTGACATACGGAATTATTTTGATTTTCAAAGGCATTCCCAGGCTAAGTCCCACCTGGTTGTGCCAATTTATGGCCCTCCATGGTGAAAACGCCCCATGCCCCCAGAACAGACCTGCATTCTGCTCTGGTTGGGTGGAATATTCCTTACACTTCAATTAGATTGCCTTAGTCTAGCGCACCTGGGTCTTCTGATTCCTTCTGATTATCTACTTGTTCTGTTGTGTACTGCTTTTGTTTTTTTTTTTTTTAAGATTTTACTTATTTATTTGACAGAGATCACAAGTAGGCAGAGAGGCGGGGCGGGGGGAAGCCGTTTCCCCGCCGAGCAGAGAGCCCGATGCGGGGCTCGATCCCAGGACCCTGAGATTGTGACCCGAGCCGAAGGCAGAGGCTTACCCCACTGAGCCACCCAGGCGCCCTGCATACTGCATTTTTGAATTAAACAAACTGCTCTCAGTAATACCGAAGCATATTGTTGCTGTGGTTACCCTCTGTACACCAAACACTTTCGGAGCCCTCCAGTGTTACCTTGTTTTTTAGGGTGGGGTGGGGGCTGATTGGCTGATGAGGTTTACTCCGTGTCTGCTTGACCTTGGATTTCAGCCCTTCCACGGTGCTGCAGCTTGAGTAGATTCTCCCTCTGCTTCATGCCTCTCTCCCGGGCTACCCTGCTGCTGCTTCTCACTCTGGGCTTTGCAGTCCAGGGGTGGGAGGCAAGTGAGGTACGCTCTTATTAGGCCTCGATCTTAGTGACTGGGTGCCTCACTTGGAGGAGGTGTGGCCTCCGAGGTGTTCCTGGCCCTCCCCCAGGTTTAGAGGTCCCTGTTTATTTCTCTTACCCCTTTCCTAAGCTTCACGGGTTTTCACCATTTCTGTTAGGGAAACAGTGGCTTTTGCCTTTCTTCTGGGCACTGGACATTTTTTGTTGACCAGGATAGAGAAGAAGGATCTGGGCAGCCTATTTTACAAACCTTTCCTGCAAGGACTGCTGTTCTTTCTCCTAGGACTGAACCAGGAAGGACAAAGGATGCTTTCTGGGCACGGTCATCCATCCCTTTTGGGAGGTCTCTGCCCACAAGAGGTTCTGAGAAGAGCCTAAAAGTGTGTGTGAATTCTCTTCTATCGTAGCCCACAGTATACTTTGTGATATACGTTTTCTGAATACATCCTGTGTGCTCTTGCTAGCTCACATTCAGCCTTTAGCAATTTGTTCATAGTTTTGGCTAAATTCTTTTTATTAGTGTCCACTGGAGTCTGAACTAGGTGAGCAAGTGCTCTGGT